TGTGTGTCCCTCCCCCATGGTATAACTCCTGTTTTCCCTGTAGTTAATGTTGGTATAATTTGTGGAGGGGAAGGGAAAAACAAATTGTTTAAATAGGGATACAGGTGGACCCATTGCAACAATGAAATGTACAAGACATTAAGTTGAAAAATGAACTTTACAACTTTGGGGAGGAGTCAGGGCACTAGATGGGGGAGAGGGAGTGTCGCAGCAGGGATGGTAAGGAGAAACAAAGGAGGAGGCAACAATGCTTGATAAGAAATGTCCTCATGGTAGGACGAGGCCAGGCACGCAGAGCGCAGCCGGGTTACAATCTGACTGGCTAGCCAGTCTGGGGCACCTGGGCCTCCAAGGGTAGGATCCTGGTTGCTTGTGTCCTGCCCAACAAGTTGCCCTCTCCAGCTCTCTCCAGTTATGTCATGGCCCCCAAACCCGGGGAACGGGAACCTGGCTTGCTTGGTAAAAGACACCTCTGGCTTGCCCCACCACCTGCCCCTCCGCCACCCCCACCCCCAGACTCAGGCCTTAGGTATTTCAGGCCACTCCTCTGTAGCTGGAGACCTGCTGGAGACCTGCCGGGCAGCCTCTGGGAGAAGCAGGCCCAAACCTCTAGGGCCTTGGGCCCGGCGACCCAAGGAGGATGAGCTGGCTCTTTCCCCTGACCAAGAGCACCTCCTTCTCCACAGCAGGGTCCCCGGTGGTGGCCTCACCAGCCTCCAACAGCAGAAGCAGCGCTTGATCGAGTCCCCCAGAATTCCCACTCCAGTATAGCTGAAATTCAGAAAGATGTGGAATACAGATTGCCCTTCACTGTAAACAACTTGACAATTAACATTAATATACTACTTCCTCCACAGTTTCCTTAGGAAAAAACAGTGATCAGTGTTTATCCACCAATCTGACATCCTTTAATGGATAAACAAGGAATATATGTTACCTCTCCATTAGTAAGCAATTTTACAATACACTCAGATCTTGGAAAGATTAGCCAGAGTCTGTTGGATGAGTTTTGGAAGAATTCTCCTGTTTTAGGTCCCACTTCAACAGCATTTCCATACCTGTATAGTAACCCAGGTGGACTGCTTCCTTATGCTTCTCAGTGTTTTCCGTTTCTTCCTGCATATCCTCCTCAAGAAGCTAACAGAACATCACTTCTTTGTTACTGACACTGTTTCTTCTTCAACAAGTTATACAACAGCCAAGTCTGCTGCTCCTACATTTGGTGTCCTTTCAAGTCTGCCATTGCCTGTTCCCACAATGGAAACTTCCAACACCGATAAACCAAAATGGTTTTGGGTAAAAGATGCCAGATGTCCCTGATGCATTTCCAGAACTCTCAGAATTAAGTGTGTCACAACTCACAGATATGAATGAGTTTACCTCAACTAAAACAAATTATTAATGACAAGGATGATTTAGTAAAAAGTATTGAGGAATTAGCAAGAAAAATCTCCTCTTGGAGCCCAGTTTGGAAGCCAAAAGGCAAACTGTCTTAGATAAGTATGAGTTACTTACACAAATGAAATCTACGTTTGAAAAGAAGATGCAGAGACAACATGAACTGAGTGAGAGTTGTAGTGCAGTTGGCCTAAAGGCAAGATTGAAAGTCACTGCACATGAAGCTGAGGAAGAATCTGATAATATTGCTGAAGATTTCTCGGAGGGAAAAACTGAAATAGATGATTTTTCTCAGTAGCTTCATGGAAAAAAGAACAATTTGCCATTGTAGAAGAGCCAACGAAGCAAAACTTCAACAAGTGATAGCAATACACAGCCAATCTCCTGCTCCATTATAGATTTTCCTGAAAACATGGACTGCCAAGAGAGAAATGGGACATAAAACTTAGTACATTACTTAAGATTTTTAAGTTGGCATTTCATTGCAATGGCTGCATTCAGATGTACTCTACATTGTTTAAAGAACTGAGATTGTTTTTTATATAGATTAGAATGATTATGATCTTTGCTTTGAAAATTTTTCTGCAGTATTTGCACTAAAAATGCCTATTTATCATTGATAAATCCTGTTCTGTTTAAATTTCACTGCTATTCTTATAATTAAATACCTTATGCATGTGATTTTAGTTTTAATATTTTATGAAAACTACTTAAACTTGTACTTTTAATTTGAAACTGCCTCATTTCTTTATCAAGAATGATATCTTATTTAGATTTTTTCCTCTCAGTTTTTTTTAAGTACTTTCAGCTATGGAAAGATACCCACACCCTCCCTTTTTCCTTCTTTTTGGATAAAACTTTGAAAGGTAATTTGTTTTTAAATATCCATAATATCAGAAAATATCAAACCTGCCAATGTGCCATCTCAAAGTAACTTTTAATATACCTATAATAAATTTAAAAATTCAAAAATATGTCTTCATTACCTTGCTCATGTAATTGTAACCCCTCTGTACATATTTTCACAATAATAAAACTCATTAATAAAAATAAATAAAACTGTCCAAGCCACAAATAATATTAAAAAATAGCTCTATGGAAATGAAATGTAACCATCTTTTTAATCCTTTCACAAGTCCTCTAAACTGAATGATATATTTTATATGTTACTCTGATACCCCTACATATATTTTATTGTCTTAAGGAAACTCTTCAGCAGATAGTCTATTGATTGATATTTTGTGTGTCAAATTCCCAAAATATGTTCTGTTCTCATATCCAACTAAAAAATTCTCATCTTCATCTTCCTTTTTGAAAAGTGAACACCTGTCATTTAGATAAGAGTCAATCCATGATTGCATTCACTAGATATTCAAACTGTCATCTCAATTGTCAGGAATAATAAAGTTCATTCTATATACTCATTTATTCTAGATCAAACTCTTTGATACATTCTCATGGCATTGATAACAAAACCAAGCATCAACATATATGACTTTATTTCATCTCATGTTCGCTCTGGAATGTTTAGAAAATTGTCTCTTAAATGTACAGCCACAGAGTAGCTATATTTAGTTGATTAATAAATTATTTTATTTACTAATCTATTTATTTCAGTAATGGGACTTGAACTCAGGGACTCAGTGTTATTGTTCCTTAGATTTTATGCTCACGGCTAGTGCTTTACCATTGCAGCCATGTAAGAGTCTCACAGATATACTTGCCTGTGTGGGAATCGAGTCATGATCTGAGATGTCAGGCTCCTGAGTAGCTAGGACTACATGTATGGGCCACCAGTGCCCAGTTTCATACTTACTTTATTTTAAATTATATTTACTCAGAAAGGCATCTAAACAAAAATGCTGTTTTTAATATTTTAAGATCCTACCTCCAGAGTCCTCTCCTCATTGTTGATGGACTCTTTTGTCCAGGGATGACTATTATATGGGTCCTTATAAGAA